GTTTTTATCTTATAAATGAGTGCCTTTGAGATACATTGATACGGTTTCGGCATCTTCTCTCCCTAATACAATCTTCTTGATCGAATTACGATAATCATCTCACTTTATACTACCCTTTCCTTGATATGTTCTAACTCAGTACAATGATGTTCGGAATGGTACCTTTCTGAGGACTAGAACAGATTACTAAATTGCGTTTTTTATCTTATAAGTGAGGGCCTTTGAGTTACATCGACTGTTTCGGCATCTGCTCCCCACAGTATGATCTTCCCCATCGAATTTCGGCAATCATCATCACTTTTGATTACCCTTGGCATGTTCAAAACAGTATAATGATGTCCCAGATGGTATTTTTCTGAGGCCTAGAACAGATTACAAAATTTGTGTTTTTATCTTATAAACGAGGACCTTTGAGATACATTGATACAGTCTCGTCATCTGTTCTCCATAGTATGATCTTCTCGATCGAATTACGATACTCATCTTCACTTTTTATTACCCTTTTCAGGACATGTTAAAAAATAGGGTAAAGTATAGTAATGGTCACTGAACATTTCTGAAACTTGCATTTAGGTCCCCCAACATTTAAAACTTGCAATACAGTCCCCCAACATTTATTCCGTTTGCAATATGGTCCCCCAACTTAAACCACAGTTAGAAAATTAGGATAAATTATATAAACGGTCATTGAACTTTTCAGTCACTTGAATTTCGGTCCCCCAACTTTTAAAACTTGCAAAACAGTCATCAATTTCATTCTAAACCCCAATTTCCAAAGTAATTCAATTTTATTCTAAACCCTAAATTCTAAAATACTTCAATTAAATTCTAAAATACTTCAATTTAAGGTAATATAGGCTTGAAGAAAGAGTTCAAGGCACAGACACAACGAATAAAATATATTTATATAATGTATATTTATATTTAGATGTATAAATAAAAAAATATTCATATATTAATGTATGAATCATTTATATTTTTTGAATATTTTATTTTTAAAAAAATTAAAATTATTAATTATATTAGAAATACTCAACTTAAGATTATATATATATCATGATTATAAATATGAAAAATATAATTATTAAATTTAGTTTAAAAATATATAAATCTTAAATTTATTCTTTTAAAATATTGTATCAACTAATATTTAAAAAATATATTAAATCTATCAAACAATTTATCAAATATATATTTTTTTATTGTAAAAAATATAATATTTTCCCATCATTTATTGCTTTCAAATTTTTTGCCGAAGTTCAAATCTCATTATTTCCATTTTACTTATATTCTTTTTTTTCTGGCATTGGTCATACTATATATGTATTATTGTATATCTCTTAACACAAACGATGGTGTTAGCTTAGTGGCTCCACACTATATTTCATTTGCGTGACTCAGGTTTGAGTTTGCCCAAGACCCAAATTTTACTTCTTTGTACTTAATTTTCTTCTAATTAGGAGGTGACATATGTCACCAATAACACATATCATGATCATGTTAACACATGTCAGATCCTGATTAAATGATTAATTTATTAAATTTTATTTAATTTAGGACCAAATTGATAGCATATAATAATTAGGTGGTAACACGTGTCACCAATGACACGTGTCATGATCTGTGCTAACACATGTCAGATCCTAATTAAATGATTAATTTATTAAATTTTATTTAATTTAGGACCAAATTGATTATATAAATAATAAAGACTGAATGTATAATAATGTCAATTCCTTTTAACTGCCACATCATCATTTTATCAATTGGTAACGACTAGTGGCTTAGTTGAAACAGTTAAATAATTATGTGGTATGATTGATAAATTTAAAAGATCGATGACAAAAGTAAAAAGGGCTAGATAGTTAAGTTGTCAACCGAGTAGTTTACACTTTTATTTATACGTCAAAAATAACATTTTATAAATTTAAAATTCGAATTATTTTCAACCTCTTTTATATCCTAACTACTTTTTTTAATTAAAAAATTTCTTCAACAGATAAGAATTATACTATTATATTTATATAAAAAATACGTATCACATGAAATAAGATGAAATTAAATAATAATAACTTTGACATAATTGAATTTCATTTAAGTATCTTGGAATTTAGGGTTTAGAATAAAATTGAATTACTTTGGAAATTGGGGTTTAGAATGAAATTGATGATTGTTTTGCAAGTTTTAAAAGTTGGGGGACCTAAATTCAAGTGACTGAAAAGTTCAATGACCATTTATATAATTTATCCTAATTTTCTAACTGTGGTTTAAGTTGGGGGACCATATTGCAAACGGAATAAATGTTGGGGGACTGTATTGTAAGTTTTAAATGTTGGGGGACCTAAATGCAAGCTTCTGAAATGTTCAGTGACCATTACTATACTTTACCCTAAAAAATACTAGGATAATGTCCCAAATTGTGTAGTTCTTAGGCATAGAACAAATTACAGAACTGTGTTTTTTCTTATATATGAGGTCCTCAGAGATACATTGATACAGTTTCAACATCTGTTCTCAGGAGTACAATCTTCTCAATCGAATTACGATAACCATCTTTTCTTTTCATTACCCTTCATGACATGTTCTAGATAATGTCCCGAATGGTATCTTTCCAAAGCCTAGAATAGATTATAGAACTGTGTTTTTTCTTACATATCAGGGGCTTTTGAGATACATAACGGTACTTTGATTCAACGGTTTATCGAGGTTGTTTGCCGTTGTAAGATTCTAATCTGCTGTTAATTCGTTATCAAGTTTAATATCGGTTTAATTACTCAGCAAATCCGAGTTTCTCATATACAAGCTCAAGGAATTAGGGAAGGTATCAGATAAAGACATTATGCAGATCTCCGAAAAATTCGACAGGCTCGATTCCGGCAAATGCGGAAGGATAAGCCTAGAAGATCTTAAGAACAGTCATCATCGTTAGTATGCAACCTATCCTAGATTAAAAAATCTTCATTACAATACAAAAGAAGTTGCAATAGGAAGAGTCAAGGATGGCATTAAATCATTGAAGTCGAGCCTGTTCATAGTTCGAATTCAAGGCAAGCATCGGTGTTTATACGAACCTTTATTCATCTTTGGTTTGAGCTTTCGTGCATCCGTGCCGATGAATCGTCTGCTGTTCTGATTTAATGACTTTTCTTCTTCTTTTGTTTACGGTTGAAACAGGCCAATGCATTGTTCTGCAACTTGACTCGTGGGTTGCCTTGAAGAAATGGAATGGACAAATCTTCCTGCTGGTAGCACATATATAAACATATTGGTAGTATATATTATGTATATAAGCACATTGGGGATTTTAGCTTTCTTTAACTATTTGTATTTGATATTTGTATGCTATATATATGATATAAAAATATACGATTTTCTAAATATATGGAAAAAATTATATACATATTTATATCCGACAATTATATCTAATTTGGATTATTTAGTTTTCCTACCGTATCTTATTCAGTTTTATCATTAGACCGCAGAACTTTATATCTACTGTTATTATTTGATGCAATATTATTTAAAAGAAAATTTAAAAATAATATTAAAAACAATAGAGATAAATGTTTTGGTGATAGAATGAGTAGTTAATTTAATTCGAATTAATCAATTAATAGACTAAAAACTGTTATTATATATAAAAATATCCCTTACCTATATAATTACATGTATTAATAATGGCAAATGAATTATTTGTTTACAATATAAAAAAAACTCAGCAAGTAGACTAGCATGTGTCATTGTCCTTTTGTGCTCTTTAAATAATCAGTTGATTGAAAATAAGGGAAAAATCAATGAATATAATTGTTGTTCAGGATAGTTTTTTTTAATACCAGTTATTATAATTTATATGTTATATCACAATATAAATTATTAAATATATTATATTTTTAAATAAAATAGAATACATAGAATATATATTGTAAAAATGAATATTTCTTTTAAAAATATTGCAAAGGGCCTGATGCTGGCATTTAATCAGTTCCGTTTCGATTAGATTGTCAATTGTAAGATTACCAAACCATACCATTTTTAATTACCTAACCCAATATTAAAACATTATGAAGCCAAATAATAATGATCGAAAATAACAGTTAGTTTAAATCAGCCCGCTATAACAATAACATAAGAATTAGGTAAGGTTCCTTAATTTGCACTTTTGCATACACTCAAAACAGAAAAAAAAACGATTTTAAAAATATTAATAAAGAAATGTCCTACAAAACAGATTTTTAAAAATATTTTTCCCTTGATATATTCTTGTCAAAAAGATATCGATCAATAATATTATTCTAACACAAAACTTATTTTAAATATTGTTTCTACATATTCGTTCGATATCTTTAAAAAAATAATTTGTTGTGTTTACGTATATACATCTATGTTTTAAATTCTAATAATTTATTTTGTTGACCAAAATGATGTTATTAATTTTATAAACCCGATTTTCTAACAATTTTCTTTCTTTTGTGTATAAATTAATAAGAAAAATTAGATTTTTCCTTATGGAAAATATATTGTAAAATTTTGATGTGATTAGATGTATTAGTGTTGATATGTTGGTAAGTTATTCGAAAAATAAATTACCATCAATATATTGTTTATTATACTATATAGTTTTTTCAATTAAAATTTGAATAATTTGTATTTCTCATTTTTTTTCTTAGATCTCTTACTGGCTTCTACTCTTCTTCTCTCCAACGTCACATTTACACAACGCCCAAAGCCAAAGCTGAAAGCAAAATAGCAACCTCCCACCACCAACAACAACAACAGCAGAAGGCGAAAACGACGTCACATCTGAAACCTTTTCTTTACTCTTCAACCAAGCTGCTGGCTGATAGATCCCATTCTCCCCTTTTTTGTTTTCGAATCTTCGATTTGGCTTTATTACGTTTGTTTTAAGGTGATCGTATTTATGATCACCTCGTAGCTCAACTGCTCTCTATTCCACGCTATTTGCTCTTCTCTCTCTTCGGTAATGTTTCTTTCTTCTTCCTCGTCGTCGTTTTTTACGGATATTTTATGATTTCCTTTTTATTTTACACTTGAAGAAGGTTATTGTTTGATCCGGAGAAGAAATGGTGGTTTCTGGACCAATTACGCCTGGACAGGTACCGTTTTGATTTTTTTTATTGATTCAGTGTTGCTGCTTAAGTTTAAATTTAGTTTTTTGAGATGAACATTGAGCTGGCTTTTTTTTGGCACGTGTGTAGTTTTTTGCTAGTATTGACTTTGTGATTTCTATGTACTGAATTTGAATTCTGTTATTTTTTTATTGAGATTTTGTACTTTTTTTTACTATACTGTTCCAAGCATCATCATTTCTCATAAAGTTTACTATATTGTATTTAAATGTGTGCTTGGTTTTGTGTGTGAAGAGATTTGAAGGCCTGTAGCTCAGTCTCAGCTTAGAGAATGATTTAATGTATTATGCTTGACTGTGATAATACTAGTCTTGAGTTATTGGGAAAGTTTTTTGAAAATGTACTTATATTCGGTGAGATCAACTTATTTGCATTTATTGCGGGAATCTTATTTTTTTTATCAAATAGAGAGGTATTTACATTCTTAAGGCAAATGCCAGAATTCGAACCCACATAAAGTGGGACAACATGAGCATCCTTGGCCACTCGGCCAATTAATGGATCTCAACAGGAATCTTATTTTCATTCAACAATTTACCTGCAATAGGGGTTTCTGTTTTTTCTTCTTTTAATGTTCTTTGACCTATATGTGTATATTTGATTCGTGTATGCCAACTTTTATTTTGTTGTATGCACTAATTTTGCCTGAAACACTTAATGAAACATCTTTTTATTATGTTGCAGGTGTCTTTTCTTTTAGGAGTTATTCCTGTTTTCATTGCATGGATATATTCAGAGTTCTTAGAGTACAAGAAATCTGCATCTCATTCTAAAGTGTAAGAAAAATGCTTCTCTTAGGAGTTAAAATGGATGCACTAATTTGATAAGGCTTGTAGTTGTTGGATTTATTGACTTAATTATTTGCTGATCCTAACGACCGAGTCTCAATTTTCAGCCATTCAGACAATAATCTGACTGAATTAGGATATGAGACAGTTAAAGATGATGATCGGGTTCTTTTGCTTGAAGGAGGTCTCACTAGATCAGTATCTGCTAAAGTCCATAGTTCAACCATCAAAACGAACTTGATTAGGTTGCTTTCTTTTCGTTTCAGTGTTGTAATGAGTTTTCCACTATCAAACTCTTTATATTTATCATACCATTTCCTTATGATTTTCCAGGTTTTTGACTATGGAAGACTCTTTTCTGCTTGAAAATCGAGCAATTTTGAGAGCAATGTTAGTCGTGTGCAGAAATACAGTTTTTTTTGTCAGATTTCTTTTTCGTCTTATGTTTAACTATGCAATCTAATGCAGGGCTGAATTTGGTGCTATCCTAGTGTATTTCTATATATGTGACCGAACAAATTTACTAGGAGAATCTACCAAGGTGCTTTAGTACTTCTTGTTTGTGTTATTGATTGTAATTTGTTTTTCATGATTTCCTCTTTTTTTCTTTTTCTTTTTTTTAATAAAAGCTTTCCAAGTATACTGTTGCATCTGCATGCCTAATAGGGTCTTGATTTTCATTTTCACATGTAATCATATTTTTTTAGTGCTTTCTGGTCATGATCTCATCTTACTTTCTTGTCCGTCTTTATTGATTTCTCCTTCCCTATGGAAAAAAGAAGATTCAATTTGGGTTTCGGGTTTCCTAGTTTTGTAAAAGCTCTGAAAGTCAATTTCTCATTCCAGAACCCTTGGAGCTCATTTTTTTTCTTCATATTTTCCTTCTAGGTGAATGCTATTTGTATAAACAATCTTATTTCTTACCTTTGTACTTGCATCCTTCCTTGAGTACTCAACTTTGGGAGGATATTAATTTGTAATAAGCTGTTTGTGAACACCATGTCCGTGTGGTAATAGTTCAATGTTACATAAATGCAATGCATTGCCTGAAAGGCTGAAATTATTTTCTTCTCTTGTGGTTGGACATGTTTGATGCCTAAGTTTTTCTCTCTTTATATGGTTTTAAATGGATTTATATTCAAGGTTGAGTGCTTTGTTTTCACATGTTGATGAACACTGCAGGACATTATTTATCTATTTTATAGTATTTCTTATGTGTGTTTCATTATGCAGAAGTACAACCGTGACCTTTTCCTCTTCCTCTATGCAATTCTCATCGTAGTTTCAGCAATGACTTCTTTGACGAAACATAATGATAAATCAGCCTTCTCTGGAAAGGCCATGCATTACCTTAGTAGGCATCAGACTGAAGAATGGAAAGGATGGATGCAGGTGAGTGTTTGTCGTTAGACATTCTTTAGATCTGCACTGATTGATACTGGTCAGTTTCTATCTCTATCAGATAACGAGATTATTTGTGTTTGCTGTTCCATTGCAATCCATGCTATCCACTGACCTTTTCTTCTACACCAAATAGTTTTATTTTTGGAGTTTTATCAACTGAACTTACATGTCTATTTTGATTTAACAGGTCCTATTTCTCATGTACCATTACTTTGCTGCAATGGAGATATATAATGCTATTCGCATCTTCATTGCTGCATATGTTTGGATGACTGGATTTGGCAACTTCTCATACTATTATATTAGAAAGGATTTCAGTTTGGCTCGTTTTGCCCAGGTAATATTCTCTCTTTGAGCTGTGATGCCGTATCAGCACTCCAGATGTTCTTCATATTTTTATACCTATCTATGAACCTGAGATCCTCGCATAATTTGATGCAGATGATGTGGCGACTAAACTTCTTTGTGGCGTTTTGCTGCATTGTTCTCAACAATGACTATATGCTTTACTACATCTGCCCAATGCACACGCTTTTCACCCTGATGGTGTATGGAGCTCTTGGGATTTTTAACAAGTATAATGAGAATCCTTCAGTGATGGCCATGAAAATTCTTGCATGCTTTCTCACGGTTATCTTTATTTGGGAAGTTCCCGGATTTTTTGACATATTCTGGAGTCCATTGGCTTTCCTTTTAGGTCAGCAACCTACCTACTTTCTTCTACTTTTTATCTGAAACTTAGAAAGATTGTCCTTATAATCAACTAATGTGAAGTTTCTTCTTCTTGGCTTTGATATGTTGTAGCTGTTATATCTTATCTTTTTCTACCTTCAAATGGCAGGTTATACAGATCCTGCAAAACCCAATCTCCCTCGGTTGCACGAGTGGCATTTTAGATCTGGTCTTGACCGCTATATATGGATAATCGGAATGATATATGCCTACTATCATCCTAATGTAAGTTGTTAAAACTTGTTAGTTACCCGAAAGTCATGTCTCTTGGTGCACAAGTAACAATCTCGTTACAATGTTTTGAATCTTAGGTCGAGAAATGGATGGAAAAGTTGGAGGAATGTGAACCCAAGAGAAAATCCTCAATCAAAGCAAGCATTACCGCAATTTCTTTATTCGTGAGTTGCCTGATCTTTTGATCATTATTATTTCGAGCATGTTTTTTGGTTTTTGAGGGAAGCTTCTTCTTCTTTTGTATATTTTCTTAAATGCTTTAGGTTGGCTATATGTGGTACGAATATATCTACAAGCTGGACAAGGTTACATACAACAAATACCATCCCTACACATCTTGGATTCCCATAACGTGCGTCTGAACGATTTCTTTTTTAATTTGCTTTCGAAGAGTTATATCGAATCACTTTAGTTCGATTTTCGGGATCTTACTATTTTCTTCTCTGCTTTCTTTTGATTCTAGCGTCTACATTTGCTTGCGGAATTGTACTCAGCAGCTTAGGAGTTACTCTTTGACTCTCTTTGCGTATTCCTCTGGACTATAACTAATCCATTCAATCCCTGCCCTCACAAGATTGTGGTTTATTTTTCACTTAACCTACTTATGTTACATTTTCTTGATTCGCAGGTGGCTCGGCAAGATAACTCTCGAGACTTACATTTCCCAGTTTCATATCTGGTTGAGGTTTGTGATCCGATCGATGTTTTGTCATTTAAATTTGTTCCTCAAAATCGATATTTATGACCTGATCAAGTTTCTTGTTTTTCATAATTGAATTTCATGCATGCATGCAGATCAGACATGCCTAACGGACAACCCAAATGGCTTCTTTCATTTATCCCGGAATATCCACTGCTCAACTTCATGCTCACAACTGCCATCTATGTCTTGGTAAGAAAATTTTCTCCGGCCTTCCATATTTCGCCAATGGTTCGATTTGTTCATTTGCCTTTCATCTTGCACTTCTGCAGGTATCTCATCGATTATTCGAATTAACAAATACATTTAAGTCTGCTTTCATACCCACGAAAGACAACCGACGACTACTACATAATTTCATAGCTGGAGTAGCCATTTCCCTGTGTTTGTACTGCACCTCACTCGTTATCCTTCAGATTCCTCATTCAACTGTAAGCTCTTAATCCCAATGAAGCATTAACTAACTTTTACGATAATGTAGCTTCGTCTGAGCAAGTGATTCTCTGTTCATAACCAACATATATTGATTTCACTGTTACAGGCCTGAGAAAGCACGATACATCGAGTTAATATGGAACATAAAAGAAAAATACGTATGTTTCCAACGATTGTTAGTACAAATAGCCTCGATTTTTCGTAGCAACTTCGGCTTTAGATCTTCGTGGACATCTACGATATGGAACAGCCAGGCAGGAGGAAGTAAATCTTATTTTTCTCTTACATTCTGGTGTTACATTGCAGGGAAAAAAGAACTTGCATATAATGTGTTTCCTTTTGTTTGTAATTTTTTTGGGTCATTCATCGATGAAAATGTAGATTCTTTGAGACATAATTCGAAATGCCAAATGCAAATTTTCTTGTTTTCCTCAATTCCAAATTACAATAAAAATCACGTTAGGGTCAAGTTTTCTATAAACCATAAGTTTAAGCAATGTTCCTTGGTTTCCTCAATTCCAAATTAAAATTTATGTTTAGTTAATGAATGTAAATACCGTCATTTTCTCCTAAAAATTCTAAGCTTCTTAAATGCCACATACAAATAGAAGTAATATCATTCACACAAAAACTTACCGTGCTAAAGCATCCCATCACCATTCACCAATCATCACATCAGAAACCAGTGGATGCCCACAATCCTCGACCGTCAGATTCGGATAAGTGTCCAAAAACACTCGCACCGAAACAAAAATCAGAAAATAATATAATCATCGTCCGTTAGATTCAGATTCAATGCGAAGACTCCACAGTAACCACTCGTCAGGTAAAATCACAGCATTTTCAATATTATATTAATATTACTTTTTTTTTAAATTATGCTACGCTTCAGGTTGGAGAAATCAACTTGACATTGATCCTAAGAAAACGGTGATTCTTTCTATTATTTAAATTTTGAAATTCTTTTTACTTTCTTCTTCTCGCGTTCCAAACAAAAATAAAAATTCCATGGAGAAAATTATGGCTGCGAAGTGTTCGATGTGCTTTTTCAACTATGGATTTAACGGTTTGAATAAAAGTAATAAGGATGTTGATGGTCTGAAGAAGAATTTAAATCTGAGGCTATTCTACTCGGCTCCTCGTCGCTCATTTCCAGTTTATTGTAAATTACAGCAACGGAGACTCAGGTACTTTACTATTTAAACTTTCATAGTTTTTTTAACTAATTTCTTAATTTTTTAGCTGTTGAATTTGTTTTGGAAAATATTTTTTGGCCTTATTTTAGCAAAAAGTAGACATTTCTTGCTAGAGTTTGATTCTGCAATGCGTGATACCGCTGATTGGCACCTAATGTTTATGAGAGTATTGCGTGGTTAGCATTTTCCCTTAAATGCCAATACAGAGGAAAAAATGTTTGTGATGATATGCTATTTCATGAACAACTTAATGTCAATTTTTACATCTTATATATATGTAATCAATAACTTGGAATGAATTCTGATATTTGATGTGATGCTACTCTTGTATGATCACCTTGTTTTGATGCTCGCATTAATATATATATGTGTGTATATCTTTATGCAGTTTACATTATAAAAGACAACTAGGGAAGAAACCTCCTTTTGAGCGGATTCGAACCAGAGCAAAGTTGCAGCCGAACAGCGATGATGAATCCAAACCTGAACATTCTGTTCCTAATAATGGAGATGTGGAGCATATCGTTAATCATGAGAAAACTTTTGAGGACGATGTTGACACTAGGGCAGATTTGGAGCATATTGATGAAAAGAATTCCAGCACATTATCTTCCTCTCCTGTTGAGACTAACAGAGATGTAGATCATATCGGTGAAAAGAATTCCGGCACATTATCCGTCTCTGCTGTTGAGAGTAACAGAGAAGTAGAGCATGCTGATGAACAGATGGCTCTATCAAAAGCTTTGGTACTTTCATTTATTGATAAGCTTGTAGTTAATCTGAATGCTGCTGTTTCGTTTTCTTTGACCTATATGCTGCATAGATATTTTAATTTGATTTGTTTATCTTCGTGTGCATTTCCATGAAAGACGAAGTGGGAAGAACACATTCGTCAATGCCTAATTTTTGTGTTTCAGAAATTATGGTAATTATGTGTCCTCAATGATGGTGGATAAATGCCAGAATCAAGGCAGTATATGGAATGATCATATCTTTGTCGAAGTTTGTTAATTAGGATTTTGATGAACTTTCTAAATAGAAAAACTCACTATGGATGTTTCTTTTGGGCAGTTTATTGTTACATTCTCTGGTTGATAGTCATTATAATGTTAATTCTCTTTTAGGTTAGATATATGGAGATATCAAGTGTTGGAACTATTAGATATATGGTCACCTGCTTCTGTTTTCTTCGGAGGGAAAAAATTAATTCAAGGTTTAAAAATTAATGATAAGCCATTTTCTGTTTCGCAGGCCATAAATGGAGAGCAGCTCGCAGATGTTCAACCAGAGGACCTCATAAGCATGATAAAAACTGCAGAAAGAAGTAGGATACATTGCTGTTGAGAATTATTTAAATTTATTTTTAAATGGTAGTCATATTAGAATCCTATTTTTTTTAAGGGATATATTTGCAAATGATTGTGTATATATGTTTCTAAATGTATAGATATTCTTCTTCTCAATCAAGCTCGGGTTCATGCACTAGAAGATCTTCATAAGATTCTTAGTGAGAAGGAGACATTACAGAGTGAAATTAACAGTTTGGAAATGAGATTAGCTGAAGCTAATGCACAGATTAAAGCTGAAGAAAAGGTAAACGTAGAACAACTTGAAGGCCAGTTAGATAAGTTGCGAAATGAGTTGATTAATAGGGGTGATTCTGGGAAGAGTGAGCTTGAGTTGCATGAGAACCAAAATAAAATGTCTAATGAGGAAGCACTTTTTGCACGTGATGGTCACGTTCATTCTATTAGAAAGGAAGTTGATTCATTGAGAACAGATAATCTAGCCCTAAAAAATGACATCCAAGCACTTAAGTCAATGCTTAGCAATTTGGAGAACAATGATGAACGCATGGTAGCACTGGAAAATGAACGCACTTTTCTAGAGTCTACTGTGAAGGAGTTGGAGTCTAGACTGTCAGATTCTCAGCAAGAATATTCAAATATTTCTACTCTAAAGGTTGAATGCAAGGACCTATGGGAAAAGGTAGAAAATTTACAACGCTTGCTGGATAAGGCAACTAAAGAGGCTGATCAAGCCCTTTTAGTGTTGCAGCAAAACCAGGATCTTCAAAAGAAAGTTGATAAATTGGAAGAATCTCTTGAAGCGGCTAATTTCTTTAAGGCCTCATCTGAGAAAATCCAACAATATGATGAACTTATGCAGCAAAAGATAAAACTACTAGAGGAGCGTCTTCAAAAGTCTGATAAAGAGATATATTCGTATGTCCAATTATATCAAGAATCTATAAAGGAATTTCAGGCCACCCTTAATCGTTTGAAAGAAGAAAGCAAGGAAGGGACATTAGATGGACCAGTTGATGATATGCCTTGGGAATTTTGGAGCCGTTTATTGCTTATTATTGATGGTTGGGTGCTTGAGAAGAAACTATCAAACAATGAGGCAGTGCTGTTGAGAGAAATGGTGTGGAAGAGGGATCGACGCATTTGTGATGCTTATGTCGCATGCAAAGAAAAGACGGAGGATGAAGCTATTTCTAATTTTCTCCGGTTGACACCATCACAACCTAGGTATTGATCTTTAACCAGTCAATTTTACTGCATTACTTCTGTTTTCTTTTTCCAAAAATAAAGGAAAAAACTAAAACTTTTCTTTCTTGTTGATCTTTAGTCCAGGATTGCATATCATTCATATAGCCGCTGAGATGGCACCGGTTGCTAAGGTAAGTCTTAGCCCCCTCATTTTTGCTTCTTTCATGGCTAATGGTTATCGAATGTGCATTATATAGATGTCTAATCCTTTTTAGTGTTTTCTTTTTTCAACTTGGCACACTTAACCCGTCTCCATTTTTGATGTTGCATTCCCATTGATGCTATAATACAAGTTAGAGGAACATTTGTACATTTTTAATTCATCTGTTTTTTATCAGGTTGGTGGTTTGGGAGACGTTGTGACTGGTCTTGGCAAAGCATTACAGAAGAGAGGACACCTTGTGGAGATTGTTCTTCCAAAATACGACTGTATGCAACATGACCTTATTCGTGACTTAAGGGTATGTTAGTATAGTGGAGATTTGACAAGTACTACATATAATAGGTCCATGTATGTCAGTGATTTTAATTTTTTGAACAGGCCTTAGACGCGACGGTAAACTCATATTTTGATGGGAAATTATTTCAAAATAAAGTTTGGACCGGTACTGTTGAAGGTGAATTATTTTGCTTTCTCTTCAGCATGCTTGCCTTGTTATTAGCTTTGCATGCTGAATGTGGGATTTAATTCACAGGGCTTCCTGTTTATTTTATCGAGCCACATCATCCTAACAAGTTCTTTTGGAGAGGGCAATATTACGGAGAGCAAGATGATTTCAAACGTTTTTCATTTTTCAGTCGTGCAGCACTTGAGTTGCTTCTTCAAGCTGGCAAGAAACCCGACATAATTCACTGCCATGATTGGCAGACGGCTTTTGTTGTATGACGTTCAACCTCATGTTTCTTTTGGCACCGGATTTGTTGTTCTGTTGCACTGAAGTTTTTCTCACTACTTTCTTAGGCACCGCTCTATTGGGACTTGTATGCTCCAAGAGGTCTGAATTCGGCTCGAATATGTTTTACTTGCCACAATTTCGAGTACCAAGGGACTGCACCTGCTTCAGAATTGGCATCATGTGGTCTGGATGTCTACCAGCTAAACAGACCCGATAGGATGCAGGACAACTCGGCACATGATAGGGTCAATCCTATTAAGGTGCTGCAATCTCTTTTTTGTCTATGAAAAATATATATATTTTTCAATCTAATCATTTTTCTAATTTCCCTTACTTTCAGGGTGCAATTGTGTTCTCTAACATAGTGACAACAGTATCACCTACATATGCACAAGAGGTTCGAACCGCTGAGGTATGAATATTTCGTAGCTTTTCAGTGAACAATTCTAGTTTTGAGGTTAATAAAAATCACTTTTTTTTCTTTGAAGGGAGGAAGA